CTCCACAGCTAAAAAGCAATGGAGACCCATGCAGAGGCAGCTAAGCCGCTCTGTGCCACCCCCCCGGACGCCCTGGGGAAATTTACAGAGTAATAGCTAAACAGGCCCTGAAAGCCATGAAAAACCTTCTCACTACAGACCAAGATAGCAACCTGTCCTCCACAAAAGTGTTACAAGGTTGTACTGAAACGAATTCAAGATGCTTAGATCGGCTGCAATCTGCTTTAAACAAGCAAGTTGAGTACAATAAAGCCAGAGAGATGCTCTATAAGCAATTGGCTTTTGAAAAGGTGAACACAGGCTGTAAAAGAGCTTTGCAAGCCCTTCCTGAAAGGCAGAGCTACAGCATTGCTGAGCTGGTTCGACCCTACCAAAGAGTTGGCTCTGTGGAGCACCAGTCTGCCCCTTTAACTGCAACTCTAAGTGCCCAGATAGGAGTACAAGAAGAGGCCAGACATAGAGTGAGTTGTATTAGATGTGCTGACCCTGACCACTTTCAAAGAGATTGTCCTTGGAGACCCTTAGCAGCAACATCCCACAAGTACCTAAACAGCAGGGAATGGGCTGAGTCATACCAAGGGTGCTGTGGGCAAGGCAGGGGCCACGCCATGAGCATCACATTGCTTGCTGCTGTGCTGCTTGCCATCCTCTTCTTTGCCAACTGCTTTCACAAGCAAGAGAGGAAGCAGCTTGAGGTAAGCCACAGTATGCCAACAACCAGCCCCAAAAATACCCCTGTATTCTGCACCCCCAAGAAAGGTGAGAGGTGGAGAACACTGCAAATGTTAAGAGCAGTAAACGCAGTCATAGAGCCTACGGAAGCATCACAGCCTGGACTTGCCTCACCTGCTATGCTTCCAGCAAAGTAGCCACCACTAATCATTGACTTAGAAAACTGCCTTTTTGTCACCTTCCTACACCCTGAGAATGCGCCAAGGCTTGCCTTTTCCATCATGGCCTTAAACAAAGCACAGCCCATGCAAAGCTATTGCTGGGTTGTCCTTCCTCAGGGGATGCAAAATAGCCCGGCAAAAAATCAAACAGCCATCATACACCATTATGTAGATGACATATTAATAACCATGACCACAAAGAATGAACTGCCATTTACTCTTACTGCTCTAATCAAAGCTGTCCAAGATGCAGGGTTGCAGGTTGCTCCAGAGAAAATCCAGCCATCGCAGCCCTGGACTTACCTTGGATGGAAAGTCATGCAGCAGGAAATTTCTCCACAGCCACTGCAGCTCGAGGTAAAAAACACTTTAAATTTACACGAGTTGCAAAATCTTCTGGGAACCATCAGCTGGTTAAGACCTGTTTTAGGCATAACCCCAGAGGGGCTACACCCTGTATTTGAGCTGCTAAAGGGGAACTCCAACCTAACGTCTAACAGGTCTCTGATAGCAGAGGCAAAGCAGGCGTTAGACATTCATGCCAAGGCAATAGAAGGCAGACAAGGCAGAAGGAGAAATCCTGAACTGCAAATCTGCCTAGCCCTTGTTCCCAGCAGGTACTAGCCATTTGCAGTTTTGTTTCAGTGGGATCAGACTGAGAAAGACCCACTATAAATTTTAGAGTGGCTGTTTCTGCCCCACACACCACCTAAAACTGTGTGGACTACTAATGAAATGTTTGCCAAGATTGTCATTAAAGGCAGAAGACAATTACAAGAACTGGACGGAGAGACCCTGCCGTCATCTACATCCCAGCTACAAAGGACAACTTCAATTGGATGCCAGCTGAGGACGCAGGATTCCAGGCTGCATTGGCAGGCTTTGACGGTGACATCTCAGTTCATCTCCCTAAACACAGATTGTGGGCAAAAATTGGTAGTTTGCCTTTTAAGGCCACAACCAGATGCAAACATGAACCAGTGAAAGGCCTCAGGGCCTTCACACATGCATCTAGGAAAAACACAAAAAGCTGCAGTGACTTGGGTAAAATCCTGACACAGGACAATGGGAATGAGAGGTACCGACCATGAACCAAGGTTCTGTACAGGTTCTGGAACTGGCTGCCATTCGCATTGCCTTAGGGAAATTTTCTGAACAACCTATTGATATGTAACTGATTTCTGTTATACTGCAAAGTTAGTCTCCTGTCTCGAGAGTTTGTTTCTTCAAGATATGGTTAACCCTCACCTGTTGTTTGAAATGCATTCTGTATGGTTTCTTGTCAATCATAGAAAGTTCTATTTCTATATAATGTACACAAGATCACACACTGACATGCCAGGGCCAATAGCTGACGAGAACCGAGAGGCTGACAAAGCAGTAATGTTTAACACCATACCTAGAGTCTTCGAGCAAGCGAAATTGTCTCATTCATTTTTCCATCAGAATGCATGTTCTCTGAAGAGATAATTTCAGATAACACTCAATAAGGCTCAAGACATCATCATGTCATGCCCAGACTGTCAGAAAATCACACCCAAGCCATCTCAGAAAAGCGTTAACCCCAGAGGGTTAATGGCAAATGCGATTTGGCAAACAGATATCACACACATCTCTGAATTTGGCACATTAAAATATGTACATGTAGATACACGTTCCCAATATATAACTACCACAGCACACACAGGGGAAAAGGCCAAGGATGTGATAGTTGCTTAACAACCCCGAGTACCTCAAATCAAATAAAAACTAACAATAAAACAGCTTTACTTCCTATCAAATAAGGAAACTTCACACATCGCAGGTATTCCACACTCATCCATCGGACAAGCAATTATTGAAAGAGCACATCACACACTGAGACACATTAGATAAACAAAAAAAGGGGGAATCTGTGTAGCCCGCAAGAACGTCTGTGGAAAGCCACGTATGTTGTCAATTTTTTAAATTGTGACAGCGCTGAAAGAAGCAGGTATGAAAGGCAGCACAAGCCTCAGGCTTTTGCCTCTCCCAGACCACCAGTCATGGTAAGAGATTGGATTTCAGGGCAGTGGATGGCACAGTTAAATCTCGTCACTTGGGGATGAGGCTACGCCTGTGTGGCTGCAGGAAAAGAGCTTAAATGGATTCCTTCCAGGTGTGTTAGACCCTACCTAGGAACACAACCACAGCAGCAAGAACCAGAGTAACGCAGAAGTTATAAAAGAGTTATGTTTACGCTTCAGGTTTACATTTAAGGATAACCAGCGTGGCAAAAAGCAGTCTGTAAAAAGCCTATGAATGTGTGTGTGATGAATGGACGATGGCTGTCAGTGAATGAGAGCGTGAATGAATAAGAGAGTTGTTTGACTGGACAAGTGTATTGAAAACAAAACATCTCACAAAATAACACTACCTCTGCCACATGGTCACTTTAGGAGAATTTAGTTTTCCTAAGCTTATCCTGTTTCTTAAATAAAGTAGAACTCCCCAGTTATTTAGACCCTCAGATTAATAAAGTTTATAATTATGCACGGTTGAGCTAGGACCCCTAGGTTAATAAAGTTATTTCTCCAAGTTACACTACCCTTTAGGAATATAAGACAGTTTTATAAAGTTTACCATAGATGTACAAGAGGCCAAAACAAGCGATGTGCTGGGTCATTGCAAGCTTTGGTAGTTTACAATGTATTGTTCTAATTGTTTGCATTGTTGTTGTTGCACTGTTTTCGTGACCTTCTTAAATAATTGAGAAGGGGGTGATGTAGGAGGCGTGTCCCAGGGGCAGGGGAACCAAGGGACATGTACAGGGACAGACACCCCCATTGGTTAGAAGGTCACATGGTTTTAGGGGATAAAAGGGGGAACAAAATTCAAAAAAAGCCTCTTTGATTTCCACCTCACGAAGAGCGTACATCATTCTTTATCATATAAAGACTGCAACGTTACAACTGAGAATCATCAAAGACTGTAAACAACATTGCTAACTTTGCAGCATCAGCTCTGGGGTACTGTACATTTAGAATGAACTTTAAACTGATTGTTACAAACTAAGAGGTAATGATGAGATCAACATTATGTAAGAGTTAACCACTTGCATGAAGTAAGCAACTAATGAGTAATTTTTAATTCAATAATGTTCAATTTTACAGTGTAAAACTGACCTAATTTGTCAGACTTCTGAACTCTCTCATCACAGCCATCTCTGTTTCTCTCACTGACAGAAATGCTTTTAGTTACAACTTAGTCACTAGGAAGTGGTCCTTGCAAATATTAAAGCCAGCTTGATGAGAGATAGACTGAATCTCAAGAGAAGGAACTTACTAGTGGATGAGGGAGAGGAGAAGGTACTAAAAGAGTTTACTCCTTTGCTACATGAGTACACAGGGCAAATCAAGGCAGCTCTGTGACATCACTTACTAAGCCTTCACCTTGCTTAGTGCAACCATGACAGCAATTGAACCTCTTTGACACTGCTTTTGATGTGGAAGCAAGGCACTTGGAGGCAGTATGATAAAACACAAACAAGGCCTTTAAAGAATTTGTTTCGGAGGGCAGGGAAGAATAGCAAATGAGAATGTACTTTAGGAATAAACAGTATAAATGAGAGCACTTGCACAACAGTCTTATACTGAATGAGAGCAAGAAGTAGAATTGAACTTCCTCAATAACCTCTGAGGGGAAATGCTCAAATAATGTGGACAAATACACATTTTTTTAAGTTCGCACCACACTTTCTTTCTGTGTTTCCATGCTATTAACCGGGAAAATCTATTGCAATAGAAATAATTAATCTTATTATAGAAAATATGTGTAAACGCTACCATGTAAAATAAATACTCCTATTCACCCAAAACATAACACAGTACAAAACCAATGACTAGTCACTTGGAAAAAGTTGTCTGTCTCCCAGCACTACTATTCTAAGACATTTATTGATTCCTTATTAACTCCTGAGAAGACTATTAAGTCTTCCTAGTGCATCCATTCTCCCAATCTGTAAAAAAGATAAATCTTCACTGTACTGCTTGGGTTTTTTTCTCTGAAACCTGACTGCAATTATGCATCACTGTCCTTGTACTAAATATTCTCTTCTTTAGTTTATTTCATGGGCAGAATCAATCCTACCTCACATTGTCATGCCTTTGAATGTAAATCTTGTGGAAAATTCTTTCAGGAGGCTTCAGGAAATCTTCCTTCATTTCCATTGCAACGTTTCTGGGCAACAGACTCATCAAGAGACGTTCCTAAAAGAAAACATAAACAACATCAGTTTTGTGGTATAGTGTGTGACCACTTTTAAAAAGTTTTAAACTATTTAGCTAGACAATCTTTTCCTAATCTAATCTGCTTCCCTAAAATTTCTGCTATATAAATAAGATGAGCCATTTCTCTCAAACTTCTGCGAACTGTGTGAATGTCTTTTTTAAAGTCTTCTGCACTAAAAAAGAAAATAAAATCAAAAAGCTACACAGAAAGAGGCAGCATCAAGAGCAGCTAATAGTCCATAATTTTCATTAATGTTACATTGCTAATAATAACAACTTACTTTATTGTTAGAAGTATTTATCTGTCTGGGAAAGACTTCCCAGGATTATTTGCTATGCTTTTGTGTGTCCTGTTTCTCCCTGGATCTAATGAAAGTGTTACATTACAAGAACTATGACAGCTGGTTATTAAGTAGTGAGAGTGGATGATGGATTTATTCACTGTCTAATTCAGGAAAACAGTAATAGTGGTACAGTTTTAGCAGCATCTTATCCAGTGTGGCAATGTCTGTTCCAACCAGCTCAGGAATGAAATGCATCAGTACAAAACCCTAGTCAGACACACGTCTTCTTGCAATATTCACAGAGAAATTTTTTGCGTGGGTCACTAACCTGCATAAAAAAGATCTCTAATGTTTTGGATCTTGTCAGTATTGACTATAAAGCCTTATGAAATTTTTTCCACCAAAGAATATGTGGAAAATTTGCCAGGTACCACCTGGCAAATCTGCATCTGTTGGTCTTAGGTGCTGTAAAGTATCCTTAGATACCTATTCAAGTTTTATTTTCACAAAGAAAATCTTTGCCATTTAAAATATAGTTCCAAAGAGCTGTCCAAAGACAAAATGTAGTATCCATCAGACCTGCTAGTTTCAGCCATGGCAACAGTATGAAAGAATTCACATAACCACATCCAATCTGATTCAGGAATCCCAGGTTCCAGACAACAAAGGGAAAGGCTGGAGCAAGGAAGATGTACCCTTGGTGGAAGAGGATTAGGCCAGGAAATAATTAAGCAAACTGGATAGAAGTAAGTCCATGGCCCCTGTCAGGATGCACCAGTAAGCACTGAGTGAACTGGTAGATGCTGTTCTACGGCCATTCTTGATAGTCAACATGGTGACCGGGAGAATTGCTTGAAGACTGGAGGAAAGAAAATGTCACTTCTGTATTCAAGAAGGGCAATAAGGAGGACCCAGGGAACTACAGGCCAGTCAGTTTCACCTTGGGTCCTGGAAAAGTAATGAAGGATCTCATCCTGGAGGCCAGGGTGGCTGGACCAGATGACTTCCAGAGTTCCCTCAACTATTCTATGATTCTGTTATCTGACAATCGAGAGCCACTATAATGGCAGCTGTGAGACATCACAGAATTGCATATTTTGGCCCAACCACATCGTTCTTTTATTTATATGATATTAAATAAGTAAGGAGCAACAATTAACACTGTGAAGAGGGTACCTGCACAGATAAATGCTTTGTATTGCTCACATGCACATGTTCACCAGTCAAAACCATTAAATAATACTCAAAATTTCTAATTTTACAGTTTCTTTTGGAAGAAGAAACACTGAATATTTCACCAAAGATTAAGTTAAACTTTACAGAACTGCCCTGATACTTACTGTAGACTAAAGTTCCTTCATATGTTTGTGGCAGTCACATTGTCTTGAGGCTAAGGATCATTAAGTGTATCTCCTACCGTTCTTATATATATACTAAGAATATTGCAAAGAATATGATGAAATTAAATATTTGTTAACAATTTATGCTTATAGCAATTTCTGATTAACCAAAGCATCTCACATTTTAGTAGAAAATGGTATTTACTATAATTTTTATTTTAATTTATTAGGTATGCTTGTATTTCTACAACAGAATTGTATTTGGGTAACCCAAAATTTGGATTAAAATCCCAACCAAATATTTTGTCAGCAGTGGATCTTGTGAAGCTCTGTTGCCAGCTACTTGTGTCTTACAGTTGATTTACAGTTTTAAGTTAAATATACTGGGGTTTTAAAATGAGCTGACCACCTATCAGGCAACAGATAATCCATACAAGAGAGAAATTTGGACTGATGGTTAAATTCTCTGGTGCTTAAGATGGCATAAACCCGAAATGATGCTGGAATTTCATAAGTACTGTTCTGGTATGAAATTTACAATGTCTCATAAGGACTAAATATTCTCTGTCTCTTCTCCTTCAGTGAGCATATTAAACAAGATTTTTGCCATTTAAATTCCAAAACTGTTACGAAGATCAGGTTTTCAGCTTCTGTTTCCTAGAAAGTCAGACTTAATCAGACAAACAAGTAAACAAAAATTATACCAACAGACTCTTACAGAGACTAATGCTAATGGAATATCTCTTCTATGGCCTGCAAACACAATTACAATACAAGATGGGAATGAAAAGATCATAGATAACTTCTGCAGTGCATGGCAAATAGCATGGAATCCGGGGAATTAATAAAAAACATTACTGTGAAAGCAACATTGCAGTGCTGCAGGATGCAGCACTTGACAGATTTGAAATGCGCAGGTGTCAGATGTATTAAGAGAGGTTACAAAAATGATGAATCCTATGCATGTTAGCTTGACAATTACAAGACCTGGAGGGAGCATATGAAGATCCTTAATCAAATTGTGGTGGCTTGCTTTTTTCATTAGAGATGAGGGAAAAAAAAAATAGATGGATTACTGAAAAAGAATTGTAGAGTCTTTACAAAGAGGGTTAGAAGTTTCAGACTCACTGAGCAAGGAAAGACTCAATTATGGCTTTCTCAAAGGCCAGCCGCTTCTGACCTTTCAAACCAAGAAGAGAAGCAGCATCTCGACTGTAAGGGTTTGTCACTGAAGACGAGACTGAAAAATGTGAGGAAGAACCCCACAATGGAAAGTATCTAAGCATTGAAAATAAATGAAAGACAGCTTTTAGCTCCCTGGAAAGAATATAAGAAAAGTCTCTTCTATTTGGGGCAAAATCTCATTTGTCGAGCAAAGTGGTATTGCACTTCAGGTCAGTCTAAGGAATGCTGAAGGACTTAGAGTCTTGGAACAGCAAGAGTGAATTCATGTACACAAAATATAGCTGTTGGAAGTTTTGGGAAAGGGCTCCACCTGGATCTCTGTTCAGCAAGTTGTACCATTTTTGTCTGATTTTTTCATTTGCTCCCGTATGGCTATCTGATTATAAAAATAATCTGAAAACCAGAATAAAATGAAAACTAGATGGGTATGGCTGCATAGTGCATTGAATGAAACAGCTGACAAAACTAAAGCAAGACTGGTCATATTTGTGCAGGCATTTATGATCGAGTGGTTGTTGCCTCTGACGGGGCGGTTGATGAAAGAAAAAAAATAGAAAAAGTGACACAGGGAGCACTAATCAATTAGCAACAACTTTTACCAAAATAAAACAACGCTCATGTTGCAAAATTTCTTAATGGTGACAAATGATATTGTATTGAGGTAGCCTAAACATGTGACATATTCCTAAACATAGGTCTAGTAGAGACAAAAATGTTTTAACATTTTTACCTTTCTCACTGATTCACAATGTTGTTTAGGATTATTATAGCTGTTTTCTACCCAGAAAATTAAATTTTGGCCCTATGACCAACTCACACTATTTTAGGAATTTCTACTCTCTTCTTCTCTCGCTGTAAAACTTCACTCATCATTAACATGGTCTAAAGTGAACACGCTGAAAAAAAAGATTCTTTTCTGAGATTGTAATTGTCAGTAAATGATTCTGCATTCCCTGCACAAATCTCACTAAGAAAAGAAAATTATAGATGAGGACCTATATTTCCCTCATTCACAACATTTTGCATTCCTAGTCCTAGTCTGGGATTTTGAATGCCAAACTGGGCTGCCTCTGCCAATTGTCTCATCCTCATTAACGAGGATTTCTACACTATTAATGAAGACATAGCTGTTTTTGAAAAGGACACTCAATCTAGAAAAACATCCAGATTTCTTTCTCCCACAGCAGTGAAGCATCACCAGAATTTAGAGAAGGAACAAGTATTCATTTTGACTCCAAGACATGTTAAAATGTGCCTACCAAGCCAATTAAAAACTGCTCAGTGCTACCTTGGCCCTAGTCAACAACGAGCATGACAAAGAGGGAAAATACACAAAAGCAGAGAAATGGATTAAAAAAAAAAAAAAAAAGTGTTCCCCATTGTTAATGGTCAAAAGACTCTATATTACTACTTGCTGTTTGGAACGTTCTCAACTCTAATTGTAAGTTCAAGCTCCTGGACTGCAACTTTCACTCTGGGTTGGACCTCAGGGAAAATTTTAGTAATTATTCAAGACTTCACCAGACTAGACAAAGACAAAGCTGACCAGACCTGTGTTGCTGGCAGTCCTGCTTTGAGGGAGTGATTGGACTGGATGATCTTCAGAGTTCCTCTCTGACTGTTGTGCACCAAGTGAGATAGCAGCAAAAGGATGAGGAGTGCAGGGTACCTGCAGCCTCCTGGGAAGGCCTGAAGCCATCCTGCTATCTTTCCATGGACAAGTGTGGCTTCTAAAATAGCAGGGGACTCAAGCACCCTCTAGCAGTTGTGCAATTTCTCTTTCCTGAGAGAGTAGCAGAAAGAAGCAAGCAGAGACTATTGAAGCAAAAAATTCCATCGTCTGCAGGCTCTATTCTGCCCCAACACTCTCTTCAGCTTTCTTCAATTTGGACACTTCCCAGCACAGCTCCCTCTCCTATCCTCATCGCTGGCCTAGACAGCCTCTCTCACAGGCACCCCAGCTCTGCTTTTGTGGGAGTCCCCAGTGCATGTTCCCAATATATTTCTTGTGCCCATTTCCAAATGAAGATACTCATTCCCTTCCCATTTTGAAAATCATTCTCTTTCTTATTTTACTGCTTCTTCCAAATACTTATCACTTTCTCAAAGTCCTTTGAAATTTTCACCTTGATTTAGAATAATTTCATGCAGCTCCCCAAACAACACTACG